CGCTTTTTGATTCCAAGTGCAAGGGCAGAGAGTAAGCGAAACGAAGCAGCAGACAAAATAAAAGTCATTATATACTGGAGCAAGGGCGATGGAATTATAAACAAGTGCAGAGATTATGCAATTAAACATACAATGCCTTACGCCTTTTGAAGTAGTAAACAGTGGACTGATCCCAATGACCCAGTTATGTCAAACAACGTTTCACATCAATTGCATCAACTGCATATCATACATCTATTCTGTTGGAGAAGATTCCAAAAAAATACCTCATAAGCGGCTTCGACTTTTACCAATATTTAAATCTGTTATGAACACCGGTAGAACTGGAACCGAGTACTTCAAGGGTGTCTTCTGTGTATATATTGAATAATGACAGATTTAGTTACTGATCGAACACCCCTTCGTTCAGCCAAACTCAATGACGCGCTCTTTAATCCAGTGGTCTATAGGTGCATAAATACAGTGGAGCCGTGGACTGCTTAAATGCTCCCTTTAGGCCACTAGAAGTAAGGGGACGGTGACCTTACGCCGAGCAAATGCGGTGTTAGACATTGAAGAAATCTACGAATACCAGCGGAATTCGAAAACTACTATGTTGCAGCTATCAGAAAACACCACAGATATCTACTGTGAATACAGCTTCATTTCAGTGATGTTTGTGACTGTTAAAACCTTTGCATTTTTACATGGTGTAGACCACTAATTAGTGTTCAGCATGGCTATTTCGATAACTCTCCTACTGGGCATTTCTTCACTTTCAGGCGTCTGCATGGTAGATTGACACAAATGCAATTACGATCACCATAATTTACTTGGTAGGCAAAAAATCTACGCCTCATTACTGAAGCATATTGCTCTATGGTAGCTACGGAAAGAGCAGAAGTTTCTGAGACGAAAGGAACTCACCAGCTCACGGACAAAACATCTAACGATAGATCAAAAGGAAAACTAATAATTTAATAATGTCTAAATACTTATAAGGCAAGCCTGCATAGGACAACGGTAGTCATACCCTCTTGTTCTACTTTACCTCTACTTCATGCAACATAATGGCATTAAGTAAGCAATGACTCATCAAAAAGCTGACGAATGAATTGACAGAAAGTCTACGCTCTAAAGTAACGCAAATCTAGTCTTTCAGCGCTACCGTCAAAAGTATAACCTCAAGTAACAACCATACAAGGCCACAGTGTTCAATAAAAATAAAAAATAAACAACCGGCCCACTCAGGGTTCTCTTAATTGAGTTCTCCTCCTCCTCCTCCTTAATGAGTTCTCCTCTTAATGAGTTCTCCTCCTTAATGAGTTCTCTTCTTTCCAAAAGACAAAAATATCCAAAGATAAAGTTTCCCAATGCTTGCCTAGTGCCTAACTGCATAAGAGTCATGTCCTTAATTTCAGCAGCATGTGTTTCATCCTCCAGTCGGAAGCTAGACGCCAAGATGAGATAATACATAAGGCATTAGGTAAAAATAAGGATGACTTGTTTTTCTTCCGCTATTCCTTTTTCTTCTTTTTGCTGTAGTATTTTTATCACGCATAATGCCTGGGTCGGCTATCAGCTGAGTGGGGTGGGGGATGCATTCATTGTTCATATGCATAAATTTAGACAGGAAATTTGCATAAGTTCTAAGGCATGACATGCATAATAAAGAAGCGTACCCTGATTTTAATCCTTTCACTGCTGTTTCGCTTACGTTACCGTTATCGCTATGAAATGAACGACGATAAACCGGATGAAAATATGCAAAAAGACACTAAAGATACTTTTCCATAATATAAGTGCATAAAAATAACCCCGAAACTATGGATTTATTAGTAAACCACTAATATTGGACACCGCCAGTAAAAATGTCAGTCTGTTGCCAATTTCCCGATTACACAAAGTTGTCATACCGCCTAATTCTAGCAGCGTAGGGGGGAGGGAAAATTTAAGCATCGATCTTCAGCAGTTTTCCCTAATCTTCACAACCGAAATGTCCTGAAGTCATTCCTCAGATTCTTTCTAATCAGCTTGCTAAAAAAGGTCACTTCCTCGTGACGCTGCCACCCCTTTTACTCTCTTCCATTTCTCTAGCAAACTCTTTGCCATTTCTGAGATTCTTATTTTCGTGCTCTTTCATGTTACAACCTCGGATAACATTATAGAGCACCACAATCTCTTGGCGAACTTCTCGTAATCGACGTCGATGTCTTTCACACTCTGGTTTTTGCTGAAAAGGGGCACTTGGAGTACCACCTCATCGAATACCTTCGATCGTTGACTGTGACTTATTATTTGTAATGCATTTTCTTGGTTTTTCCGAATATTAACCTGGCCCGCACCATTTTATGGTCATTGTCTTAAGTGTTGGAACTACTGATATGCCTCGAATGATGCGATGTTTATCAAACAGGAAGAAGTCGATCTTATTTTTCATCGCTACTTTGGATGCGATTCATTTTCACCTCCAGCTTGTCTTTTTCTTCAACCAGATGCTGCAAACGTACAGGCATTTTTTTCTGCCATGGTGACCAGGCGAACTCCTGACCCATTTCGCTTCTGGCTCCTTACTTACCGACATATTTCGCCCGTCCCTCCTCGTCTGACCTAGGCATTGAAGTCTCTAACAACAATGGTGCATATGGACTTTTGGACCAATATCTTACAGTTCTTCGTAGAATGCTACCACTTCTTCTTCGGCAGCGATACTTGTGGGAGTATAACTTTGGACGATCTTCAAGGTGTTGTTCTTGTTGAGTTGGAGGCGCTTCATGCCCAGCGTTGATGATAACAGTTGGCAGAAGATTTTGGAAGACAACACAAATTCATAAACAGACAACGTACAATGTCGCGCAAGGAAACATGTTCCCACTGAGCCCGCAAGCCCCCCTTTAGTCAATAACATATGTGACGTATGCCTATATTTCTGTATTACAATCTTCTCTTCAATCTATAATATGATCCGATCATAGGCAGCGAACCTGTAGGCTTATTACTGTTATTTAGGCATGCCGAATACTCCAGTAGCCTTTTCATAGAGTACCTGTCATACCACCTAAGTCTAATAGTATGTGACCTGTTGATTAATCTCTCAATGAGTGAGAGGAGCATTTACTCTAAAACGTGAGTAAGCCAAGGCATGGATATACCATTCAACAAAACTGTGCATCAGTGCCTTGACGGATCATCGCCCCAATCTGAAAGTACCTTGCTGTTTACGCTATTTAAGTACAAAATATTTTATCGGTTAGACCTATATCTTTGTATATTCGCCGTTGGATAGTGGCAATTTTCTTGGTGCCCGAAAATGTTTTCGCTCCGTCCAACTCAGTGACGCATTCCCGCATCCAATACAGTAAGGGCGCATAAATACCATGGAATTGTGATACGCTTAAACGCCATCCTCTAAGCGATTACAAGCATGGGAGAGATGCAATGTTCCCGTATAACCTAGTGTAATCACTGCCATCAGTATCAAGCTATCGCAGAGTCGTTATAAAGCGTATGTTTAAAACTTCCGACAAGTTAAAGGGTGATATTTGGTAGCAGCGGAATCGGAAAGCTTCTATTTTTGGGTAGCTGTCCCAGAACATCGGGTAATAATTTGATTTTAAGAGCTGTATCATTTTTTGTTAAATTTATCCATCACATCATTAGATCTAGAGACCGAGAAAGACAAGTCAGGAGTGAAACCAGCCTACCACTAAAAGATGTCTTCTCCTCGCGCAGTAATCAGAGCCTGTACTAATGGTCTGCGAAATCGACTTCGTCAACAACGCGACCCAAAAGTGCGAATTCTCATTGATTAGCGACTGAACTTGAGTACAAGAATACTTCGGCATAAGAAACATGATTAAAAACTTTGCCAAAGCTTAAGCGGAATTCCTTGGTTACACCTACAGAATGGTTCATAAAAGCAAGTCAACACAGCCCACAAAATGGTTAATAAAATTTACTGGTTAAAAATATAGTTATTTTAATCTGATCATCCAGCTGGAGGCGAAACTGCTGCAACATA